ATTAATTAAAGCAGTGTTTCTCAACTAGCAATCTATTCAGTCAGCATATTTGTGTTTGATCTCTGTGAATTACAGAAATATAAGACTTGCTAGACCTACTTTTTTTCTATATTTCTTTGCACAAAACTCTCCAGAAAGTGCCATTTAATGGTTTATAAATTTTTTTTTTTAAAAAATCGTTCTCTTTTAAAGATCGGATGGGGGGCCCCATACTACCTTCGCCTTGGGCCCCCAATTTGCTAAATCCGCCACTGCCTGTGATGTAAGGTGGAGCTCATGTTCAAATGCAGTCAGTAAGGTGTTGACGCTCCTGGGACCTGTTTTGGAGAGTTTTTGTTTCTGTTTGTCACATTCAAACAGTTATTTGAAGTCAGCGACTACGCCACTAAGGGCTTGCAATCTTCCACACTATCAGTTACAGATTATATTGATCTGATTGAAGGGCTCAAGGACAGCTACACACAATTCACGAATGAAAATGATGCATTTGATAAAGTAATGGCACTGACAGATGAGCTGATGAATAAACATGAGATTGTGCGCTGGGATATCAGTGGATCACGCAAGAGGAAGTTGCCGGCCAGGTTAGACAATACACACGTTGATTCTACTCTGGGCAAATAATCACCTGTACAGCAAAATTCGGACCTACAGAAATTATGGAATGACATACTGGACAAGCAGATGATGGAGCTGAACACTCGTTTCAAGCCCGACACATACGGCTTTATGAGAGCCGCTGCTGCCTGCTTGCCATGGTCAGACACCTTTGGTGACAAGGCTCTCATCCTGCCCGCCTGCGCGCACTTTTCCATTCCCATGGAAGACGCAGAGCACACTGTGTTTGTGCAGCAGCTTAAAAGAAAGGCAAAGGCCAACAAGACCGAGAAAAAAGAAACACTCGTAGAAGTGCTCGACGCATGCCCCCGTGATATTTTCCCCAACATGAACAGTCTCCTGCGGGCCCTCCTCACATTGCCCATGACAACATGTACTGTGGAGAGACTCTTTTCAGCTGTCAATCGGATTAAAACAGGCACCAGGGCCACAATGTTGACAGATAGACTGAACTCTTTGTCCCTGCTTTCAAAAGTTCAATAAGACGAAATGATATGAATTATTCTGTTGCCCGCCACTTTAATAACCACTCACATTCTCTACCCTCCCTCAGGTTTCAGGGAATAGAACAGGTTACTTCTCAGAGAGGGGGTGATGTAGACAGGCGACTATGTCAGAGAGAGCTATATTGGATCTATATGTTAGAAGCTCTACAACCACTGGGCCTTAATGAGGATTTTGATATGAGTGTGTTTCTTTAATCTCATTACTATAGACTATTCCATGTTTTATGATGGCCATAGCCTGATATTTACATGGAATAGGGTGTTGATGTAGTGTAATGATTTGTTTTGTACATTTTTTTATTTTGAAATCTTGATGTAATTCATGTGTTTTGTTTTCAGTAGACCCTGTGCCTAAGGCTGTATTTGATATAGGCTATGTTGAACTACATTTCCTATGTTCCCTATCCCTGTAGCCTTAGCCATGTTAACACAGGTGTCTGGCATTATGCAATCAGGAGAGGTGATTGACAAGGGCTTTTTTGTATGGCCACATTCACTCTGTTTGTATGCCTGAAGAAGGTCGCAAGACCGAAAGCTTGCTAATAAATTGATAAATTGAGGACCCCGGGGAGCCCTTATGAGTGGGGGAATAATATTTGGCCGGCAAGAGTGCGGGCCAGTGTGTGTGTAATACATAAGCACATAGTGGGAAGGGAAAGACAGGGCGGCGGTGCCGGCCTGTGTGGAATGTGTCCCATCAGTGCAGCTCACCAGGGGAGCTGTAGCATATTATACCGCTAGTAATTTTGCCTGCAGGGCGGGCACTTCCAGATTGTAAAATCTGACAAAGGTGGAGGGGGAAGCCCAGCCCGCTGCCACACATATGTCGTGAATGGAAATCCCGCTGGACCATGCCCACGAGGAGGCCATGCCTCTAGTGGAGTGAGCCCTAATGCCTAACGGGCATGGCAGGTCTTTTGACGCGTACGCAGCAGCAATAGCGTCCACTATCCATCTAGACAGTGTCTGTTTCGAGGCGGCGAGACCCTTAGTGCGCCCTCCGAACGAAACGAAAAGCTGCTCAGAGCGTCTGAAAGAGGCAGGGCACAGTATACAATCTCAGTGCTCTAACAGGGCAGAGGAGATTGGCGTCGCATTCGCTATCGGATGCTGGCAGAGCCGATGGGAAATGATCTGTGCTCTGAAAGGAGTACCGATCACCTTGGGGACATAGCCGTGTCTAGGCTTTAAAATGACCTTGGAGTCATTTGGTCCAAACTCAAGACACGCAGCGCTGACAGACAGCGCGTGAAGGTCTCCCACACATTTAACTGATGACAGGGCAGTCAGAAAAACGGTTTTGAGTGAAAGGTATTTCAAATCCACGGATTGAAGCGGTTCGAAAGGGGGGGCTTTCATAGCTTCGAGAACTATAGAAAGATCCTAGATAGGAACCGATGGGGGGCGCGGGGGTTTCATCCTTCTAGCTCCCCTGAGGAAGCGGATGACCAGCTCGTTTTTTCCCAGTGACTGGCCGTGCAGGGGTTCAGCGAACGCCGCGACGGCCGCCACGGCCGCCACGTATACTTTGAGCGTGGATGGGGACCTGCCCTTATCCAACAGCTCTTATAAAAACACGAGCAGCGACGACACCCTACATGTCCGTGGGTCCAGATCTCTGTCGGTGCACCATTTTGAAAACACAGACCATTTGGACGCGTAGAGTCTTCTTGTGGAAGGAGCTCTAGCGTGTATGATAGTGTTTATTACTCCTTCTGGCAAAGCGACGGGTAGTCGTTGATCACCCACGCGTGCAGCGCCCAGCGCTCTGGGTGGGGATACCAGATCGTGCCGCGAGCTTGAGAGAGGAGATCTGCTCTCACTGGAATGGGCCACGGGGCTGTCAGTGGCAGCTGCGTAAGCTCCGGGAACCATGTCTGATTCTCCCAGCGCGGGGCTATGAGGAGCACCGAGTGGCGCGTTTCCCTGATCCTCTGTATTACCTGTGGCAATAGCGAGACGGGAGGGAAGGCGTAAAGCGGGCGGTTGGGCCAGTCCTGGGCCAGCGCGGCCTCGCTTTTCGAGAAAAATACTGGGCAGTGAGAGTTCTCCTCTGACGCAAAGAGGTCTATCTCTGCTCTGCCAAATATGCGCCATAACTTCTGGACTGTTTGAGCGTGCAGGGACCATTCCCCTGGGGGAATATTGTCTCTGGACAGTCTGTCTGGGCCGTCGTTCAGGTGGCTTGGCACGTGCGTCGCCCTCAGCGAGCGCAGATGGCACTGGGACCAACTCAGCATGCGTTCGGTCGGATGGAAGAGGTTCCTGGATCTGACACCGCCCTGACGGTTTAGATAGGATACCACAGATCTGTTGTCCGAGCGGACCAGGACGTGGTGACCCTGAATGATCGGGAGGAAGCGCATGAGCGCGTCCTCGACCGCTATCATTTCCAGAAATTTTATGTGAAGGAGCTTTTCCTGAACTGACCATAGGCCAAAAGCCGGTGAGACCTCGCAGACCGCACCCCAACCCGTGTTGGACGCGTCTGTCGAGATGACTTTTCGGCGAGATACAGCTCCCATCGTCACTCCCCGCTGATACCATCCGGCCACTGTCCAGGGCTGCAGAGCTGAGATACAGGTCTGAGTCACTCTGATCGGCTGGCGCCTGTGGCCCAAGCCCGGCGAGACGCACGGGTGTTTAGCCAATGTTGAAGCGGGCGCATGCACAGTAAACCCAGCTGGAGTACTGCTGCGGCTGAGGCCATGTAACCTAACATTCTCTGAAAATTTTTCAGAGGCGTGAGGCTGTTCATCTGAAAAGATGCGGCTAGTCGCTGAACACGGCACGCTGTGTTGATAAGCGAGCCGTCATAAAATAGTGGGTTATTGGACAAAAAGTGGCTTTGTGGACAGCGGGAAGTTTGCCCAATATAGTGGGTTATTGGACAAAAAGTGGGTCCGTGGGATTGGGGGTGGGGTGGGGGGTGGGTGGGGGGGTCAACGGGAAGTTTGCGCCATATAGTGGGTTATTGGACAAATAATGGGTTCGTGGGATGGGGGCGTGGCCCGGGAGTGGGGGGGGTGGTCCCGGGAGATTTGGTAAATATAGTTGGTTATTGGACAAATAATGGGTTCGTGGGATGGGGGCGTGGCCCGGGAGTGGGGTGGGGGTGGTCCCGGGAGATTTGGTAAATACAGTTGGTTATTGGACAAATAATGGGTTCGTGGGATGGGGGCGTGGCCCGGGAGTGGGGGGGGGGTGGTCCCGGGACGTTTGGTAAATACAGTGGGTTATTGGACAAAAAATGGGTTCGTGGGATGGGGGCGTGGCCCGGGAGTGGGGGGGGGGTGGTCCCGGGACGTTTGGTAAATACAGTGGGTTATTGGACAAAAAATGGGTTCGTGGGATGGGGGCGTGGCCCGGGAGTGGGGGGGGGGGGGTGGTCCCGGGACGTTTGGTAAATACAGTGGGTTATTGGACAAAAAATGGGTTCGTGGGATGGGGGCGTGGCCCGGGAGTGGGGGGGGGTGGTCCCGGGACGTTTGGTAAATACAGTGGGTTATTGGACAAAAAATGGGTTCGTGGGACGGGGGGGGGGTGGGGGGGGGTCTGGTCACTCTAGTGGTCAATCGGACAAATAATGGGTTAGTGGGACGGGGCACGTATGGCGCCCCACCAAGGACGAAGGCAGAACTGCTTGGGGTGGCCTCGGGCTTCGGGGCACTTCCGTCGGGCCCCTGAGGGGGTCGGGTCACCCCGACCCTGCCCGCGTGGGTCGGGCGCCCGGGGAGGGTCGGCCTGCGGCGTCGGCCGACCCCCCAAAAATTTCGGGGGGTCAGCGCGCTCGTCCGCCAACCCGCGTCCTAATCGCCGCGCCCCGTTTACTGAATGGACGCTTTTTATTTTTCTGGACTATCTGGAGTAATTCAGCTTGTGCAAAACATCAAACTCAAAGCTGCCATGAGCTCTGTAAATGCAAGTTATTCACAGAATATCTCCATTGTTCATCCTCAATACTTTTTTATCATTGGACTATCAGGTATACCATATAGCACTTATTTCTATATATTTTTATTTATGATTTATTTTATTACTATAATTGGGAATGCTATAGTCCTTCTCATTATAGCTCTTGACCGGAGCCTGCATAGTCCAAAGTACATTGGTGTGTTTAACTTGGCCTTGGCTGATATTGGTGAAACTAATGCACTAATTCCCAACATGATGAAGACTTTTCTGTTTGACTCACAGTACATCTCCTACAATGCTTGTTTAGCAAACATGTTTTTTGTCTTCTTCTTCAGTAGTTTGCAAAGTGTCACTCTTGTTGTTCTGGCATATGATCGGTTCATTGCAATTTGTTTGCCATTAAGATATCATGCAATTGTGGACAATACCAGTATGGTTTTGGTTTTTCCAGCAATATGGGCATTTAATTATTCTATGGTGGCCTTGATGGTGTGATCACCCGACTTTCAATTTGCGAATCCAATGTAATACAGAGTTATTTTTGTGATCATGGGCCAGTGTATAGGTTGGCATGTAATGACTATAACATTAATAAGTCTGTGGGATTTGTTATCACATCTTCATACCTTATAGCACCAATGATCATTATATTCCTGTCATATCTGGGCATTTTTCTTTCTTTAAGCAAAATTACAACTTGGGAAAGACGTTAAAGAGCACTGAAGACCTGTGTTTCTCACCTGCTGTTAGTAGGGATTTATTTCCTTCCAATATGCTTCACATACCTTGCACAACTCTTGCTTGCTCTCACTCCCAATGCCAGAGTCATCAGCACATCTCTGGCATATGTTGTTCCACCAATGCTAAATCCCATCATTTATGTTTTAAACACAGCTGAAATCAAAAACTTATTGCGAAAAATTCTTACCAACAGACCTGCACCAATTAGAGAGAAGATTTTGAAATGACTGCAATTATTGTTTGCATTTATATATATATATATATATGATATATAAATATAAGTATTTCATCTTTTACTGTTAGTAGTGGGTAAATTCAAATAAATATGTTTTGTTGTTGTTGTTTTGTTGCAAAACCATCTGAATACAAATTTGACAAATAATATTTGACTAAATAAGATAACATTATTTCTAAATATTTTCATCTTTGAACTTGTAATCAAGGTCCATTTTTACATGAGAGGTTTATTTTGGTCACTACTAAACTGATTTTTGATATTATTACCAATTGCGAAAATATAAAATTATTTAATGATTCCATTGTATTTTTTTTTTTTTTTTTTACTTTTGTTGTCAATGCCACTTAAAATAAAATGTTATGCTGACACAAGTAGCACTTTAGTAGAAGTTATTTATTCTTTAAATCCAAAGGTCTGCAGCTTTCATTCTAGCATAACAATAAAAATGTATCTAAATAATTAGAAATTAAAATTGTGGAAAATACATACTATTTCCAAACATATCATTATCAAAATCAATATCACACCATAATGTATATTTTCCTAGCGTTGGTCCCGCTCATTTGCAGGGTCCACTTCATCATAATTTTCCACACACACAATGGATTTGGCACAGGTTTTTTTACTCTGGATGCCCATACACTCACTCCTACACACAATTTGGCATTTCCAATCCACCTAACCTGCATGTCTTTAGATTGTGTAGGAGAAACCCACGCAGAAACGAGGACCTTCTTGCTGTGAGGCGACAGTGTTACCCACTGAGCAACCGTGCCACCAATTCAGCTGCACCATCAACTCAGCTGCAAGAATTCTGTCTACTGTGGTCTTTCACTGCCATCTAGTGGCTACATTTTAATAAGAGAATGTAGGGCTGGATGTAGGAATGTCCGCCGACGCTCCCCTCTGGGCTCCCGTAGTACCGAATGGGCTCAGCCCTCCCTTGCGCATTTGCCATAGAGATACACAAAGAACATGGCAGCGAGCAGGGAAGAACTCGTTCCCAAGAAAGGCGCAGTGTCATCCATAATTTGCAATTGGTTTGGTTTTGCGGCATCAGACGCAGAACAAACAACACCCTGCTGCAAAGTTTGTTTGAAGTCTGTTGCTAGCAAAGGTAGCAGTACAAGCAATTTACTGCAGCTCCTCAAAAAGAGGCATGCTGCCGAGTGGGAGAGATGTTGCGCCCTACGAAATGAACAAGACCACGGCAGCACAAACACACCCTCCAAATAACAACCTAAAGTCTTACAAACATTTACAAACTGTATCTGTTTTGATAAGAATGGGGCCCGGTGGAAAGGGATCACAGATGCAGTTGCAATGTACATTGCAAAATATATGGTGCCTAAATATACTATGGAAAAGCCGTGGTTTATTCACATGCTGAAAGTTATGGAAAGTGCCAGGTATGTGCTACCAAGCCGCAAATAACTCAAGGCAGTTAATGTGCCAGTGAAATCGAGGTTCTGTCTGCGCGTATGCCGCACGCCCATCGTGTACAGTTGGCATTGAGATGTCGTTGCTTGGGATTGAGATTCAACATCAAGAAGAGTTCACTGACCCCTCAGTTGAGAACTACATTTCTGGGGGTAGTATGTGACTCTTTTGGGCACAATTGTCTCCTGCTCGTATAGACACTATTTTGACTACAGTCACCAACATCAAGCTAGGCCAGGCCATCACTGTCAAACACTTCCAGAGAGTTATGGGGCTTCTAGCAGCATCGTCCTACGTAGTACATTTTGACCTGCTGTACATTAAACCACTATAGTGGTGGCTGAGGACCGGAGTGTTTTCCCAGAGGGGAAACGCATTCCGCATGATCAAAGTAACGTGCAGATGCCTTTATTCTTTGATCGTGTGGAAGAAACCGTGCTTTCTGTCCCAGGGCCCCGTGTTGGGAGCACCGTGTCAGAGGAGGATAGTGACTACGGATGCATCCCTCACGGGCTGGGGAGAGGTCATGGTTGAACGCTACATAAGAGGTCTATGGAAAGCCCATTATCTTTCATGGCACATTAATTGCCTGGAGATTTTGGCAGTGTTTCTGTCACGGTTGGTAAATCCTATGTCTGCTTCTTGTCTCGTGTTTCTGTTGTTGTATGTGTGTGCGCTGATTAGAGGGGCGTGGCCGCTCATCAGCGCTCGTCAGCAATCACCCATTATCCATCACCAGCTGCAGTCTATCAATTCATGTGTATATATTCTCATCAACTTCTCATCTCCTTTGTCAGATCGTTGTTTGTGGTTCCCGGTGTGTGTGTGTGTTCCCATTGTCATTCAGTCATGTGCTTCTCCTGTTCCGGTTCTTGTTCTTTGGATGTTGGATTACTGTTCGTCGTTGGATTTTCACCACCACCACCACTGCCTCTGCACTTGTCATCTGACCATCGGAGTCCCTGCGCCACTAACCTGTCTGTCTGGTCTTTGGACTATCTATCTGTGTTATCTTCAAATAAAGAGTTTAACTGCATTTGCTTCCATCTGATTAATCATGACAGAACGATCTGACCAAAGCATGGAAGCAGCAGAAGACTCCTCGAGTTCACTGGATGCATTTGTGAGTAGCAGTATTCAACGAATGGACACTCAAGAAAATAATCTCAACGATACTGCTCGCACTGTCCAGGCTTTAGTGGCGCAGGTGTCCGGGCTCACCCAACAGGTTCAACATCTTCGTGTTCCCACCGCGCCACCCCCACCGCCGATTCCTCCATCAACACCAGCGGACCCATTCCAGTCAGAGCCTCGTTTTCCGGTCCCCGAGCCATACTCAGGTGAAGCGAACTTCTGTCGAGCATTTTTAACCAGATGTTCTATGCATTTCTCCCTACAGCCCAGAACATTTCACAAAGAACAGACCAAGGTGCCATTCGTGCTGACGCTTCTGACTGGGAAAGCGGCGCTATGGGGAACGGCGGTGTGGGAGAACCAAGACGAATGCTGTTCCTCGTTCCAAAGGCTCTCCGAAGAGATGCGGCGGCTCTTTGACCGGGCCGTGTCAGGAAGAGAGGCTGCTAGGGTGCTGGCGGAACTTCGTCAAGGAGAGAGGTCCGTATCTGACTTTTCTGTTGATTTCCGAACCCTGGCAGCCGAGAGCCGTTGGAACGAGGAGGCGCAGTGGGACATGTTCCTGCATGGGCTGGCTGACCGCGTTCAGAAGGAAATCTACGCCCTGGACCTGCCCACCGGACTCAATGACCTCATCGCGCTGGCTATGAGAGTGGACGCACGGCTGTCTCGAGTCAACAAACGTTTCCAACCGGACCGCTCTTCTGGAGGGAGCGAGGGGCAGCGTTCAGGAGGCGAAGGCGCAGTCAGCCCCATCTACGATCACGAGCCCATGCAGGTGGGTCGAGCCCGGCTTTCCCGGGAGGAGAAGGAGAGGCGGAGATCCCTGGGCCTTTGTCTGTACTGTGGTGGAGCTGGACATTTCACTGACAATTGTCCATTAACCCTCAGACGGTCTTCGGTCATTTATGACCGGAAAATTTTCTGTTTTGAATTTCTAAAAATCACAGCTTCATCGGAATGTTATGAAACTTGGTGACTTTTATGGCATTAGGTATGTGAATACAAAAAAAAAATTGAGGTCATGATCCGAGCATGCTAAGTGGTCGTAAAAAAAATAGTCACACTTGTGGTCTTCGGTCAAAAATGACCGACCCATAGGAAATGAATGGGAAATTTACAAAAACACAAAAATTCTCTGAATTTTTGTCTGTACAATCTACAAATCGGCCACGATTCTAAAAAAAAGTACACCGCAGTAAAGGGGTGATACGCTATAACATCAAGAGTGCAAAAAATTCATAGCCACCCACACACACACACATACAAACACACTTTTATACACATACACACCAATAAATTCAGATTACAAAAAATCTGTTTGAATTTTTAAAAATCACAGCTTCATCGGAATGTTACGAAACTTGGAGACTTTTCTGGCATTAGATATGTGAACACACAAAAAAATTGAGTTCATGATCCGAGCATGGTAAGTGACGATTTTGGTCTTCGGTCAAAAATGACCCCCATAGGAAATGAATGGGAAATTGACAAAAACACAAAAATTATCTACAATCGGACACGATGAAGAAAAAAGTGCTCAGCAATGAAGGGGTGAAACTCTAAAACATCAAGAGTGAAAAACATAACATAATTAATATATATATATTAGTGCTGTCAAACGATTAAAATATTTAATCGCGATTAATCGCATTAATGTCATAGTTAACTCGCGATTAATCGCATTTAATCACACATTTTTATCTATTCTAAATGTCTCTTGATTTCTTTTTGTCCCATTATTTTTTCTCATTTTAATGCTCTTATCAACATGGAAAAGTGGATCGGCTTGCTTTGTGCAAATGTTTTTTTATTGAAAACAACATTGGCATATACTGTTCAATTTCACACTAAAACATTCTCACTTGGAGCAAATAATCTCTCACACAATGTAACACTGTCCATCAATAAAAGGGTGAAAGAAATACTGACGAGGTCCTGATATTGACGAGGGGGCGGAGAATTCGCATCAGCTGTGTGTGTGTGTGTGTGCTGGCCATCATCAAGTGGTGTTTCAGACTGGACGTGCTGCGATGATGATCAGTTCACAACGACAAAACACACAGATCACTTTGGTCTTGTCAATGGAACCATTTGGCAACTTTTTAAAAGTAAACTTTCCATTCAGAATCTTATTGGCATCCATTTCGGCGTCTCGCGCTCGTCATCCACTCAAAACTGGACGTTTTGAACGTTCCTATAACATTCAGAAATAACGTTTTTATAACTTAATGGGAACGTTATGAAAACGTTCTTATAACCTAAAATTGTTAGCTGGGGAAGAGGAGAGATTCGCGATTGCACTGAACACGTTTTAAGTGCAGGCATATTCTCTGAGCGAGCCCAGAGAAAATTCTTACAAGAGCAGCGTGTCTCTGAGAGCGCGCGACTCGAGCAGAGAGATTCGTGCTCGGC